AATTTTTTAAATAAAACAATTCGGAATCAGACTTATATAAATTGTATTGATTTTTTGAAATCCACATTGTGAACCAGAAAACATTCAAATTTCAAGAAAATATTCACCTTTTTTCAAATGAATTTCCTGGAAAATAAGTATTATGAAATACATTTAAGAATTTTTGGAGAGTTCCCGGAACAAAATGCACAGACTGAATAGAACGAATGACCGTGTAGAAAAGAAAAATGAGTCCCCTACTACGGATTTTAGGTAAGAATATAATGTTGCATGCTTAACTAGAAATCTTATTTGTTACAGATCTTCCAGCAGAAAATCTGCGAAAAGAACGTTGGAACAAACTGAACTCGCCAAATGTGCATTGCAGTCCACTGCAATTCCACGAAAACGGAAAGTTCCAAGTCTCCAAATCTCCTTTGTTCCTGAACTTCTAATTTCTCAATTTTCCAATTGTCCTAACTGCTGAATTTTTTAGATTCTCGATGACTGATATTTTGGAATGCAGGAATTCCGACTTTCAGAATCTTGAATGTTCAGAATTTACGAAGTTCGGAAACTCACAGATTAGAATTTGAAATTTGCTAAAAGATTTTATAAGATTTTCTCTAAAGTTTTCTTTCTCTATAGTTTTTTCGTTTTCAAAGGTTTCAGACTCTTCAATATTTTTTTTTTTTTTTTTTTTGAAATTATGGATTTCTGATTTTCGGAGTTCACATTTTTTCAATTTTTCAACTTCTGGAGTTGAGAATTTCTAAAATTTTGAGTTTCCGAAATTCCAAATTTCTCATATTCCTAATTCAACATTCTCCGATTTTATGATTTCTTAAATTCTAGGAAAACAAATAAATTCAGAAATCCGGAAATCCAGAAGTTCGGAAATTGGGAATTCAGAAAATAATGAATATAATATTTGAAAAATCAGCAAATTCTAAAAATTCCGAAATATGAAATATCAAAGATCTTAATACTAAAAAACTTGGGAACCTAAATTCAAAATTTCAAAAAATACATCATTTTTGAATTTAAAATTTCAATTTTTTGGCTTTCAGAATGAGTTCCATCAGAAGAAGCATATGTGAAAACCCTAAGAAAAAATGAAAACCCGGCCTCAATTACTTAATTTCCGTAATTTCTTTCATATTTTCTGAGTTTTCTGGAAATTAGAAAATCGGAATTTCTAAATGCAGACACACGAAATTTTGGAAATACGAAAATTTGAAGACTTGATAACTTAAGAATTTTGAAATTCAGAAAAATTGGAAGATTTCAATATAAAACACTCTTTTGAATTTCAGAATTAAAGTTTTAGGACTTCCGATTTTTGAACTTTCTAATCTCTGAACTTCCTAATATTTTACTTTTCGAATTTCCGAGGGATCTGTTCTTGGGCCTGGGATCTGTTCTTGGGCCTGGGATTTGTTCTTGGGCCTGGGATCTGTTCTTGGGTTTACCCTCTTCCTGTTATTTATTAATTGTATTGGGGACAAATTTCAAAGTGACTATCTACTGTTTGCAGATGACTTGAAAATTTATGATACGAATGATAGATTAATTGATGCAGACTTAATTGAATTGGAGAATTGGTGCTCGAAGTGGAAAATGAAAGCGGCTCCTAAAAAGTGCGAATACATCAAATTCAATGCAACAAGAAAATATGCCAACTCCAATGTTATGAATCCCAAATTAAATCAAGCTTTGATTCCCCCTGTGGAAAATGTCCGTGATCTTGGAATCTACTTTTCCAGTAACCTGAGTTTCCATTATCATTATTCGTTGATTATTCGGAAATCACATCAGAGGATCAACATGTTCTTTTCCATTCTAAAAAACGCATCGTGGAGTGTTTTTATAAAATGCTATACAATTTACATACGCCCTTTACTCGAATATGGAACGATAGTCACTTCTCCAATCCTAAAGGATCATATTATAAAATTGGAATTGGTGCAAAAGTCATTTGTTTTCAGAATTTTCAAAAAATTCAGGATGGCATACACTTCATACTTTGAAGCACAGGCTCTATAATGATTTGGTCTACATGTATAAAATTATTGTTTCCAAAGAAATTATCATGGAGGTTCCAATTTTCGAAATATTTAATCATGCTGGATCATTGCGACGTCACAAATACTATCTCAAATCACTTATCAAAAACTCAACAAAAATATCTTCTCAATTTCTCTCTAATAGAGTAATCAGATGTTGGAACTCTTTACCCGCCAATGTGTTTCCGGTAAAGCCCTCGTCAGCGGCTTTCAAAAATCGACTATTATCCTGTGATCTAAAACATTTTCTTGTCTTGAATTCAACTAATTACTAACTTGGTTTTTCCTTCATCTCCCAATTACTACAAATGTATGTCCCTGTTATATCTCCTAGTTTCATAGACATTTCACGTGTTAGTGGTTTTCTCCCCTTCGTTGAAATAAATAAATAAATAAATCCAACTCTTTCCACATTTCCGGCTCAGTATCCAAGAGTACATGGAAAAAGGGTACATCGAGATCTTAGGGTACATTCTATAAGAAAGTACATCAGATCTTAGGGTACATCTGGGAGGTATGTTCAAGGGTTACATCTCATGGTGGTTCTAAGGGTACATCAGGGAAAGGATCCCAGGGTACATCGAAAAGTTCTTAGGGTACATCAATCAAAAATACTGTAGTTGTCCACTGGAAGATATTTTGGTCTAAACTGCACCATTTTATTTATTTTTTTGTTTGTATTTGTTTGAAAATTACCATTTTTTCATAGTTTTATGGATTGATAGATTTTTTGAAGTTTGTTTTAAAGGAGCTTATTATACTGAAATTGGCAATAGGAAAAAAGTCGAAAACTTGATATTTATCAGAACGAACTTTCAACCAAAACCACATTTCAAATGTGCCAGGACAGGAAGCATTATAAATTTGAAAAAAATCCAAATTCTTTCAAACTCTTCGGATTTGTCGGAAACATAATGGTACAAAATCGTTAAAAAGACTACGAAATGAAATTAGTTTTCAAGTACACAAAAACAGAACATTTGGGTCTGGTCGAACTCGAACTTGAACTTTAGATTTCCGTGCACGCAAACACACCACTAGACCACTTTGCCAAGGTTCGCTTCGGCCACCACAACCCGTACATATCTTCGGTGGTTTTTAAAGTAGAGAGGAGTGCGGAGATGGAGAAAGCAATAATTTTCGGAAGGTTTTCCAGACAAGGAATGAAAATGAGCACTGGCTAGTCTAAACTTCTGAAAATTATGACTGAAAGTCATCTACTTTTAGCTTTTCGCTGTTTTTTTTTTCTGCAGGTGTCAAAATCTGTGGAGACGAAACGAAAATCAATGAAAATTCATGAATTCCGAACTCTAACATCAAAACTGGATAAACATCCTAATTTGGTCCACCGAAATCAGAAATCAGTCGGAAAATATCTAATATTTGTCTGAAAAATTTAATTTTTAGGCCAGGTTCTCGATTTCAGTTGTTTCCGGTGACGTTTCCGATCGCTCGCCTCTTTATTTTATCTGTCGTTGTTCAAAAAAATTGTTCATGTAAAAAATGTGATTTTTTTCTCAAAAATGTCCTTTTTTTATTTTTGCTCCGATTTTCTCGATTTTCAACAATTTTCGACTGTTTTTCGTAATTTTTTCTGCAGAATTTTGCAAAAAAAATAAATTTCTGAACTGTCGCAGTGATTCAGTTCTTAATGTTCAGTCGTAGATTCATTTATGAAATTTTTAGAGCCACAACAGGAATTTTTCCTTCAAAACAATAGACAAGATGAAAAAATTCATGAAAATTAATTTTTCTGCAAATTTTTTCTGTCCTGGCACATTTGAAATGTGGTTTTGGTTGAAAGTTCGTTCTGATAAATATCAAGTTTTCGACTTGTTTCCTATTGCCAATTTCAGTATAATAAGCTCCTTTAAAACAAACTTCAAAAAATCTATCAATCCATAAAAACAATGAAAAAATGGAAATTTTCAAACAAATACAAACAAAAAAATGAATAAAATGGTGCAGTTTAGACCAAAATATCTTCCAGTGGACAACTACAGTATTTTTGATTGATGTACCCTAAGAACTTTTCGATGTACCCTGGGATCCTTTCCCTGATGTACCCTTAGAACCACCATGAGATGTAACCCTTGAACATACCTCCCAGATGTACCTTAAGATCTGATGTAACCTCTGATCCAATGTACCCTAAGATCTCGATGTACCCTCGATGTACCCTTTTCTGATGTACCCTTGGATACTGGGATCAAATTTCCTCATTTCTGTATTCCCAGATTCTAAAAAATCAATATCTTAGTTTCCTAAATGTCGAAACCTGAAACAGATTCAGAATCAGGAGTTTCCGGAACTCTGAGCTTCTATATTTCTGAATTTTGATAATGAAAAAGATATCCCGTGAAAAAAACCGAGACCTCTTTATTACGGGTACTGTAAGCGGAGCGCAGGAGGTTCAGCCCCGAAGGGGCGCAAGCCGACAGGTTCAACATTAATTTTGAGTGAAATTGGACAATTTCCTGGCCTAAAAGCACAATGATTCTTCTAACGAGTCTTCTTTTCCATTTTTCGAGTCCACACATTGCTACCGTCATTTTCAATATTAATTATGAATAAAATTGGACAATTTCCTAGCCTAAGACCTCAGTGATCCCTGTAGCGAGTCTTCTTTCCCTTCATTTTTCCGGTTCATACATTGCTACCGTCATTTTCAATATTAATTATAAATAAAATTGGACAATTTCCTAGCCTAAAAGCTCAGTGATCCCTCCAGCGAGCCTCTTTCAGTTCTTTTCAGCTTCGAATCCTGAGTCGGGATACTGTAGCAATTGAATTTTTCAGTCTTATTAAAATTTCCAATTTTCTGACCTCTGTTTTTCTGTTCTCAATGACGTTTTCTTGCTTGTATAATCTATATTTCTTTTCTACAAATTTATTGATAAAACATTTAAAAACTACAATAACGAGATTTCCCATGTTTTCGACATTTTTCATTATTTAGTAGGAATTTCGATGACGGACAACTTCCACGACGACTATGATTGGCTCGGATTTCAACAGCTTCATGTGCTTCCGCGTTCTGGAAGAAATGAGGATTCTAAAAATTCAAAAACAGCCTTCTCACAAACCTGGATAAATCTCCGCTTTTCCCAAATGTCCTTTTCAGCCCTTTTTTCCTTTGGTACCAGTCGGCGATGCTCCGATTCTCGAGGCTTTCCAAGACGTCATGGTTGAATGGGAACTCTACTTGGAACTGAATAAAATTCAATTTACTTTTCGTATCAATATATATTTTCTACCTGAACATTGCCATACATAACCTTCGTAGGTCAAATAGAAATCCCTTCTACGCGTTTCCTTGATGCGTCTATTATCATCAACTTCGTGTTGGTACCATTTGCCAAGCTGAAAATGTTTAGACTAATTGAAATCCATTCAAAACCAAAATAATACCTGAACTGGCTGCACAGAACGAATCCTTCCAAGGTTGTTGGCATATTTCCGATGATCCCTTGTTTTGTGGATTGTACGCAGGGATAGAGAAGTTTGTCTCGATGCAGACGGAATGTTTCACAAAATCGGCCGATGCTTATTGTGGATAATGAACTCGGATGGATAATGTTGGGGAGGCACCCATTCCGAATATTCTGGCGACCAAGGCTGTAAGTCCTTGAATGATATTCTTTCCAAAAATAACATTCCCATTCACAACCTTATAATATCATAATTGGCTGCACAGATCTAATTTTCTATTTTTCAAAATTTTCAAATCTTTATAAACTGATTTGCGACCTAGATTTGGCTCGCTTCAGATAGATTTTTTTTATTTCTCGTGGGAGTTCGCGTAAATTATAAATATTTTATTTCAGACTTCATTTCCAAATTTGAGCTTTTTATCTTGAGCAATACTATTTCTTTTTGAAGTCCATAATTTGAAAATAAACTGTTTTTGAGACCTAAACTTCCCGTAATGTCTTCAAGCTTAACACTTCCAAGCTCACATACCGTTAAACCTGTAATAGGAGACCACCTATTCTGTCGAGTTTGTGCTAATTTTTCTTGGCTCGTGTGAAAACTATCGGAAATGTGTCAACTGATAAAATGTTTGCAGTGTTTTGATAAACATCTTATCAGTTGACAACATTCCAATATCATCGAGAGGAATCAAGATAAATTGGTTCAAAGTTGAAAAATAGGGGCTTTCCTATTATAAGTTTCACGGTAGGCAGGAACATATAAATTCTAAGAATTTATGTTATTTTATTCGAAAAGATGACTCAACTTTTTTCGAAATATACATTTATGCTAACTGGAATACATTCAGATTCACCAGAAAAAACTCACCATTCCAAATAAATTTCCACCAAAAATCGATATTGCGAAGTCCTCTTTTATAAAAGATATATAGAATATAACAGGAATATAATAGGAAAATAAATATACTCAGTAAAATCAAAGGGAAGGAAGCTCTCCAGAATCCATGCATTTTTAGGATTCTTGGAGAGCTCCCGAAAAGACGTCTATTCAGTCAAGTCGTCGTTGAAGGGGAATGAGGTGGTATGTGTGTATAGGTATAAAGGCGACTATGCGTCTCTACCCACTTTGTCTCATTTGCTGCGTTTCTTCATAATCTACACTCCCTACAATATGACCCCTAGGGAAGAGAAGAAATGTCCCGCAAGACAAGGGAGTTTGAAGGCAGCCCAAGTAGTGTAAGGAACACATATGAGTGTCATTCAGCTGCGCACACCTGTCACATATTGTTTTACGAGCAGACTGAGCCTTGAAGGATTTCGGTGTAAACCGAAAAGTTGTCTTATGGGAAATTCGACATTCTGAAAAGAGATTGGGGAGACGAAAAAGGTTTATTGGAGCACATCACAACATTAAAGCTAGCTCCAAAATCAGCTTTCCAAATAATTTCTAAAATGTTGAATTCTTTAAAGAATTTGTTTAAAAAATAAGTTTCTGCAAGGTTAAGGAACATGAAACATTTGAAATTTAATGAAGTTCTCAAACTAAATATGCAGAGGAAAATTTTAATAATAGCCGGAACGAAATATTGGAGGAATCATCGTTTTTTCATCTCGCTCTACCATCTTTGCGTTTTCAAAAACAGTTTCATTTTATTTTCAATCTTTTTTTTTTTTTTTTTTCAGCCTTCTTATCTCTGAAGCTATTGGAAACTGTGTTTGTTTTAGTCTGGAAACATGAAGATAAGATACAAAACCAACACATGTAATTATAAAACATTCAAAATATAAAATTATTGGACATCTCCCGGATTTCCTTTCTTTTTTGGACCAGCTCATTTTCCAGCCTTGCTGCTCCTTTCCATTGCTCATTCAGAATCTTCATTTTGAGCGTTTTTTATGTCAAAATTACCGATTTTCTATGAATTTTTTCAAGTATTGAACGAAAAGATGGCCGTTTCACTATAATTTAAACAAATTCAGCATGTCATAATTGTGCTAGAAAAATGCTCTTTAATCACCATGTTAAAAGATCCACTGAAGTGCGATGTCTAGAATAGTTTTCATTTTGAGCGTTTTTTATGTCAAAATTACCGATTTTCTATGAATTTTTTCAAGTATTGAGCGAAAAGATTGCCGTTTCACTATCATTCAAACAGATTGAGCATGTCATAATTGTGCTAGAAAAATGCTCTTTAACCACCATGTTAAAAAATCCACTGAAGTGCGATGTCTAAAATAGTCTTCATTTTGAGCGTTTTATAGGTCAAAATTACCGATTTTCTATGAATTTTTTCAAGTATTGAACGAAAAGATGGCCGTTTCGCTATAACGAAAAAAAAAACCGAAATTTTAAAAAAATTTTCAGTTTCGAAGATTTGTGCTCAATTTTATGTAGGTAGCACATAAATAGGCCAAAAAACCATTTTGCAAAGTTTCATGAAGTTTTATTGAATTTTGAACATTTCGATTCTCAACCCTAAAGGTACCCTATTAGCTAGAAGGCCCAGGACACCATGGACATAAAGCGCTCGGCAGTCCATGACTACATAACACACACCATTATAGGAGTCCCACGTCCCTTTGAGTTATTCAAGTAAATGTCCGAGGCAGACAGACACACACACAGACAGAAAAGTTTCCTTAGTAAGAAGTAGATTTCATCCTCATTATTTCAAACAATCATCAATTGAAAAAAACCCATCAACCGTGAATTTCGACCCGGTGCTCAATACGTCACAATTTGAATCTCCAGCGCTGGAAACCGCAAGCGTGCGCTTCAAAACCCCACGCGTCACATGAAACGCAGCTTTGACGTCACGGCGTCTTTTCACAGTTTTGAATCAAATGTTCTCCCTTGGGTTATCATTCTTACCAGAGCTTACTTTCTTGCACAGTTACTATAGTCGCTTGTAAATTTTCATTTTAACCATTTCAGTGGCATCAAATTACGATGAAAATATATATCATTTCATTTCTTTTTCTTTTTTCATTCTAATGAACGAAACTTGAAAATTCAATGAGAGAAATTGCGTCAGGCGGAAAAAATAGGACTATTCGTGAGTTTTTTCCTGGTTTGAACTCCATCAAGATGTTCGGTTCAGTTGTTGGGTCCTCAAAGTGTCGCCACTTTTATTCCGTGCAGTTTTGATGTCTGGATATTATATTTTGTTTTCAAACATTTTACAAAATCCCAAAATTTTCAATTTGCATTCATGGAACTGCAATGTATTTCAAAAAATCGAAATTTTAAATGTAAAAAAGTAATTTACTGTCTATTTTCCCCCATCGATTCTCCAGAAATGTTTATTTTCCTAGTTCAAATTACCCTTCTCCCTCTTGCAATATTCCGCTGTGGCCTAAACACATGCTGAAACTCAGTCACGTCTTCTTTTCACCACTTGCACTCTCCAAACAACACACGCACCTTTTTCTCTTTTTCAAAGCTTCGAATTGGAAAACACACAGGAAATTGATGGGGCTCAATGGTGAGTCAGAAAAGTTATAATAATCAATAAACTCTAGTTTGAAAAAAAAATAGAAAAAAAATGTTTTTTCAAATCTCATTAGTTCAAGAAATCCAGTTTTTCGAATAAAATATGACAAAAGTTGTGAAGAAATTAATTTTATAGGAGATTCGGGATTGGATCCGACCCGTACGAACCTCCATGGTTTTTTGTGAACTCAGAGGACGTCAGCTGCTGCTCAATTCACGTAATAGTACTCCAATCTCAAAAATTGCAGTCGACAATGATAATATTCAAGACCAACCTGCACATTCCAGAAAGACACCAACAGTTTGTCACGAGCAGCTCTGTCGAAGAATATTACAATGATGAAACTGCGGTTTTGTATGCTCTCATAAAAATTCTGCCGGTCGATGTTAGATGGGGAAATCCCTTTGCCTTTTCTGAAAGCTCTCTCTATTTTAACGACCTTTTCATAAGAGAACCAGCTAACAATCTAGTAGACTGGACAGCTGAAAACTTTCTTGAAATCCTATGTGGCGTGTTTCACGGAAACGAAGAAGTTGAGGGTAAGTTCTGCAAAATCTATTGTTTCACAAAAAAAAAACTGATTTTCAGTGGAAAATGTATATCTCCACTTGTTTTTTGCCAAAATGTTCGATTGTCCGGAAGACAATATGTACCATCGTGATCCACAACATGTTGTCAACATTTAGGTAACTCGTGGATACCATCCCTCCAAAAGCCGGCTGGGTGCAAATCAAAGTATTACTGTAGCACATTTTTTTTTTAATTTGAAATTTCAGAATTTTCGAAGCAAAATTTCGAATTGGTATAATACAAAGTTAATAAAAAATAAATTCATCTAAACATCAAAAACAAAACAATTGAACAATAAAAAATTTTGGAATTTTTTGGTGTAAAACATGATTACAAAAGAAACTTGGAACTAAGGAAATTATAAAATTGAATCATCACCAAAAAGAGGAATATCGAATCGACACAGAAATAGAAAAAAAAGGTTGAGATCAATTTTCAAAAAAGTCTAATTTCGAGATCTCTTATCCGCTTCTTTTGGATGTGGGGTAGCTTCACGCTTCCGACAACGTGTTCTGCCATCTCCGGAAGCAATTTGAGATGTGGAAGCAGTGGTAGAGAAAGACGTGGACGGCTGAGGAGCAGTTGCATCTGAAAAATTGGTCATTGTTAGTTGAGAATCTTCTATTTTTCTAAAAATTGCTTACTTAATCTTTGATGACTGGAGGAGATGGAGGTCGGCGAAGAAGATACATCTAAAAATCGGTTGCTAACTTTCTAATGACCATCATTTTTAAATTTTAGCGCGTCGAAGGCGCCCCAGCCCGCTTTTTGAAGCGTCAGCAGCGCTGCTAACTGGCTGGTATCTTTAGAAACGCTCACCAGTGGTTTGGCCCTGAGAAGATGATTGTGAAGATGGGCTGATAGAGGTGTCCGTTGATAAGGTCCGTTGTTTGGCTCCTCCAAAGGTGTTGTTTGGCTCCTCCAAAGACAATCCTCTGTAATGAGAAACACTTATTAGTTGATAAGATGACTGAAACTGAACTCACTCATCGCCTCTATTTTTGAGTATGATAGCAGAGATTTTTGACGATCTGAGGTACCTGAAGGGTTGACACTTGATGACGATGTGCTTGGAGACGGCACAGATGACGTGGCCACAAGAGAATTAGGAGCAGCAAAACAAGGAGAAAAGTTAAGACAACCAATTAGATCTTGGGACGAAGCCTGAGCAGGAGCATCGACTTCCGCGGAACTGCCTAAAAAGGGACTATATTTTTGGGTCTGGCCTCGGGTTAACTTTTAACTTTGAGCCAATGTATCTCGTTTGTTGTCAAGATATGGAAAAGTTGTCCACTGATAAACTTTTCATCATAAAACCGCAAATATTTTATCAGTTAATAACTTTTTTATATCTTATACAGAAACCGAAATAAACTGGGTCAAAGTATAAGGACTCTTCTATTGCAGGTTTAACAACTCACCATCAGGAATCTCATTAGGCTTCACTGATCGTCTTAAAACATCCCATATTTTCCGGTGTTCGGGGGTCATCTGAATAATTTTTCAAAATCTTTTCTCTAACTTTTTTCAGAACTCACTGGAAGAACATCTATATTGAGTGCCGCATACTCAATTTCGTCGATCGTATCTTTGATTCCAAAATTTTGTCTTCCAGTTTTGATTTTTGCGTTTCCAATAGTTATTCCAGTTCCTCTCTTTTCACTTTCAGAGCATCCATTTCGTTGAGAGCTCTTAATGCTGCTTCGAGATTTGCTCGAGAGTTCTTGTCCTCTCCGAAACTTCTTAATTCTTCTCTTGGATCCAACTTTCCATCATTCAAATATTTATTCTAGAAATTAATATTGTTGAAGGAAAATTTGTTATTTCAATAAAAAACTCACCTTTTTAAAATAAATTTCCATCAAAAATCGATATTACGAATCCCATTTAAATAAAATATTTTAGAATATAATAAGAATAGCATAGAGGATAAAATATATTGAGAAAAATCAAAGGGAACTCTCCAAATTCCTTACATTTTCAGGATTTTTGAAGAGTTCCCGGGAAATTTTGACGTCTATTCAGTCAAGACGTCTGTGGAGGAACTGATGTGGTATATGTGTATAAAGGGGGACTCGTTCGAATATTCCTATGCGTCTCTGTTCTTCTTTGTCTCACCTGCTGCGTTTCTGCATAATCTACACTCTCTGACACATGACCCCAAAGGAACAGACATCGAGTTTTCGTCTCATGGGAACGAGCGTAGGGACAAGGGACTTTGGAGGCAGCCCAAGTATTGCAATGAGCGCGCACAGATTAGATAGCAGACACCCCTATTGTTTTATGAGCGGAATCTTGAATGTCTACTTTGTCCAAGAGGGGGGGGGGGGGGGGGGGGGAACCATACATGTCGGTCCGGCCCGCATAGGACAACTTTTCGAACATTTTACTTTTCAAATGTGCCAATATATTTTTAATATTATCCTTGTCAGAGAAAAAAAAATTGAGTCGAAGTGTATGCAATGTTTGTAAACAAATATCTGAAAGCGTAAACAACCGGAAACAGTTGAAACCAGTGCGACAGTAACCCGGCGGGAAAATATTAAATTTACTCATTTTTCAGCTTTTCGCATATTTTGCAGCAAATTTCGTCGAGTATATATTTCAAAATACCGCAAAAAACAATGAAAAACAAACCATTTATCACGAAAAATTTCGAAATTTTCAGAAAGCAGGCATGTGTAATTTTTTCCGTCCCGTCCCGGCCCGCGGGCCGGCCATCTTTTCCACAAGTATGGAGGAAACAATATAGGGTTAGAGCAAACATTGATTTCTGGCTATCTCAGTCTGATTTCCAAATAATTCAGAAATTCAGAAATTCAGAAATTCAGAAATTCAGAAATTCAGAAATTCAGAAATTCAGAAATTCAGAAATTCAGAAATTTAGAAATTCAGAAATTCAGAAATTCAGAAATTCAGAAATTCAGAAATTCAGAAATTCAGAAATTCAGAAATTCAGAAATTCAGAAATTTAGAAATTCAGAAATTCAGAAATTCAGAAATTCAGAAATTCAGAAATTCAGAAATTCAGAAATTCAGAAATTCAGAAATTTAGAAATTCAGAAATTTAGAAACTCAGAAATTCAGAAATTCAGAAATTCAAAAATTCAGAAATTCAGAAATTCAGAAATTCAGAAATTCAGAAATTCAGAAATTCAGAAATTCAGAAATTCAGAAATTCAGAAATTCAGAAATTTAGAAATTCAGAAATTCAGAAATTCAGAAATTCAGAAATTCAGAAATTCAGAAACGATGAAACTATAAATTTTATCTGCACCTTGCAATTCATGGCTTTACATCACTCACATCTTTAGTTCATTGCCCAAAAAATTTTCTCTGAACAAGGCAAAACATTGAAAAACCTTTTCTCCTAAACTCTAGAATTCAACTTTAAATTTGATGCTGAAGTTTAGACTAATTCGTGACTTTTTGAAACTTCTCAAAATTCCGTACTAGAATTATTCTTTCAGTTTGCAGAAACAAAGTTCAGTGCAGTTTCCGTGGGCGTGTGAGCACTCTCAATTTGTCTTTTTCAAGTTTTTGCTCAGTGTTCCCTATAATTACACCCACATATTCGAGACAACACACAAATTATTGTCCCTTGAAAACAGCCAATAAAACCTACAATTACACCCACGAGCTGTTATTTTCCTACTAAATCCTCTTAAAATTTTTAGAACTCCGCCCATTGCCAGGCATATATAAGGATATCCATTTTTCTCATGCAGTTCATTCTTGAGCCACTTTTCAGATGGCTGAGCACCCTCCAATGTTTACACCACTAATCCGTCTTCCGAACCAGTTGAAGGATGTTCCCAGCGGGTAAGTGATGCGAAAATTTCTGAAATTCTCAAATTTTCTGAGTTTTTCAAACTCTGAAACTCTGAACTTCTCTAATTCAGAAACTACAAATTTCGGAAAATCTGATATTCAAAAATTCTGAAAATCTGAAGTTCAACATTTTAAAAAATCAGAACATTTAAATTTTGATATCCTGGAAAGTTTGAAATCCTTGAAATACCTAATTCTGAAAAACTTTAATTCTCCTTTTTTTGAAGTTTTAAAATACTGAACTTCTGAAATTCGAATATTCTGAATATCTGAAATTTTGATTTCCCAGATATTCTGACTTCCTGGAAATTCTGAATTCATAGAAATTCTGAACAACTGGAAATTCTGAGTTTCTGGAAATTTAAAGAGGGGGGGGGGGCAGGAGATTTTACGGGGGTTTTTGGGGCAAGAGTATGCATTCTGCCGTAACGGTGTACAACGCTTACTGCCACTCTGCGTACAGCTGTCGTCCTCCCCTTTATGTATGCTATCGGGTGGCCGCTTTCTCTTTGCCCGCGTAGCTCAGTCGGTAACGGCGCCGCACCCTCAATCCTCGCCCCCCACAAGTTCAACTCCTCGAGGGGCGTATGTAAACGGGATTTCGAGAAATTTATTTTTTTTCATGTCCCCCACCTTTAAAGTTCAAATATTCAGAAATTCAAAAAGTTATTTAGATCTTTTGAAAATATTAAAATTTCTAATTCTAAAATGCTTAAATTCTGTAATTCCCCAAGTTCTGAAAAATGACATTTCAAAAGTCTGAAAAGGGAAACAAGTTACAGTTCTGAATGTCTAATGTTCAGCTCTAAAGTTTCTCTTAAAACTACAAAAAAACATTTGGAATTCTAAAAAATCCGAGATTTCGAAGAAAAAAGTCCGAACCATAAATTTCATAGTTTCAGAATCGAGGGAGTCACTCTCACAGATGTTGTCACTCCAGAATACGCAAAATCAACCATTCCCTGTAAAAAATTCACATGGATCCTTGACGCAACTCCACGCATTGAGCTCGACTTTGGACCAGACACTAAGAAGTTTCAATTCCACATCGAATCCTCCCAATTTGATTTATTCAAAATTGACAAAGATGTGAGCTTCGAGAGGACCGCTACACACTCAATTTTCCGTGTTCGTAAGATTGACAGAAATCCACCAAGTCGCATCAAACTCCTCGAGGAGTACACCATGAAGTACTGGACACTTTTGAGAACAGAAAAATGTGAAGTGCGATTCAACATGTTCCAAAAATATGACTTCGAAGAATGTTTCATCTGGAAACTCACTAAAAAGTTCTCCGTGGTCTACTTCAGCACCCAACACGACGTCATCTTCACACCAAACCAACTCAGATTCCTGCTAGAAACATCACCTCGGACTATCTTCGTCTCCCAGAAATCAAATTCACAGCTCCAATCAAAAAATCCGAGAAGAAACTGAAACCGATCAAACACGAAACAATGGACATCTATGCGAAATTTTTGCCATTCATCTATTTCATAAATATGGAATGCAAAAAAGTCAAAGCTCGTTCTGAAAATATCAAGGCATGGGACTTGAACACATTCTTGAAAGCGTGGATTGGAGGAAAAAAGCTTCAGAATCTTCAATCCTTTACATTCTACTACTCAGACATGGTAAAACCATTGGCATATGAAGACGTTCTCAACAACATCCACTCTGAAACGGGAAAGGCGAGAAATTTTGAAAAAGTGCCAGAGTGAGTTTACATTTCTTTACAAGTTTTGTTTAAGCCACGATTTCCTAGTACCAATCAATAAGACATACAGAGACGTATTTTTCAGGTGATTTTTGGCCATTCTGACTATTTAAGGGAATCTGTAGCTCAGCTGTAAAGTATCCAACCACATTGAAAATTATGGAAAACGTGAAACAGATCTAGACTGAAAACTGTTCACATATACTTTTGAAAATTCCTAGTTTCTCAGTTATTTGGCAATTTCTAAAGTACGCCTTTTTTCTGTTTTGGTACTGAAAAAGTGGAAAATAGAAGGTGTGCTTTAGAAATGTGCATAGCTGGAGAACTAGAGGTAATCAAAAAATACGGTGAATGCAAATTTTTCAATCTAGATTTGTGTCCATCATCCGAAGTTTTCAAAGTGAATGGGAATTTGATAGTCGAGTTTCAGACTTTTGAAAATGATCAAAATAAACTACAGGACTCCACAAAAGTTTAATTCCACCCTCAGTTTGTACTGAAACACCTATTTAGGTCAATATTCGTAAAAAGGTGTCAACATGAAAAATAAAGGTCTCCCTGCAAAACCTACGTACGAAAAACTTGGAGCCATGAACGTGATCCGGAAACGAGAAACCGGAAAAATTCCGAAAATCACGTTTTGGCCGATCCACAAAAGTTTAAGTCCACTCTGAAAAAGTGAGATTTTGGAAGTTTTGAAGCTCTGCGACCACCTTTTGAAGGCCTGAATTCGAAGAATTTTAAGATTCTGACCCCCATACACAGAGACCATTATACACGGTTACTGATATCCGGATTCCGGATGTCAGATATCCGGATTTCCGGATTCCGGAATCAAGATTTCCGGATTCAAAATTTCGGATTCCGGTTTTTTTGGGTTCTGGATTATGTTTATTGAATTGTGTGTAGTGGATTTAGAATATGTACTCCGGATTCTGTGTTCCGGATTCCGGATGATGGATTCCGGTTTCCGGATTAGCTTTTTGAATGAGTCAAAATGTCCCGAAAATCTGTATTTCAGGTTTTCTTGACAAATAAACGTTTCAGAAAGTTTCTGGAAGGTTACGAAAGCTTCTGAGGTTCTGAGGGATTCTGAAGGGACCTGGAATTCTGGGAGATTCTCCAGGAACATGAGAAACGGCCCAGTAGATTGCGTTCTAACTACCACAACCTCCGAAAA